ACTGTGGCAGACTGCTAGACCCCACCCCTGTCAGCTGGCTTACCAACTCGTACTCTGAGAGTGGCTAGGCCGTGCTGACAGGCACTTGCAAGCAGCACTCTCCATAGCTGGCGGCAACAGAATTGTGGCAGATGTTGTGAAACTTGAGCATCCTCGGATGGAGTTGTAAATCAAAAGCCTGCAGGGACTTTGAACGTAGCACAAGTCAATGAAGTTATAATTGATTCGGGTGTAATGAGTAATCAATCCCTGACCCCTGGCCTTGGCTTCAGAAGGCTACACTGATGTTGAGATGGGGAGTGTGCTATATCCTGTATTAGCAGTAACTCCTCTCTGCTATAGGAGAATTTGCCAGGTAGAAATGTAGAACCTCAAGAAAATCAAGGCTAAGCCGGGCGGTGGTGGCGCACGCCTTTAATCCCAGCACTCGGGAGGCAGAGGCAGGTGGATCTCTGTGAGTTCGAGACCAGCCTGGTCTACAAGAGCTAGTTCCAGGACAGGCACCAAAGCTACAGAGAAACCCTGTCTCGAAGAAAACAAACAAACAAACAAAAAAACCAACAACAAAAAAATCAAGGCTTCATTTACAACTTGAGCTTTAAAATTTGTCTAAATAAATAAATAAATAAATAAACGCTAACTCTAGACAAGCCAGCTAAGCTGGAGCTGGCAGCTCTTGAGGCTCTGACCTGGGCATCATGGTATCAGGGTAACTCCCCTGCTTTATTAGCCACAGGACTAATGGTAACGTAGGCTGTAAGCCATTGAGCTGACGGTCTCCTCTGGAACCTGGATGCTGGTGGTACCTCTGCCCAGTCAAGAACCTACCAGCTTTCCAACTCGGGACTGGAAGTTGGGGAACAGCTTATCCTCGGTGCTCAGTGGCAGCTTCTGCTGGCAAGTTTGCTCCCGGCTCTCCAGCAGGTTCTGAGAAATATATCAGTGGGGTTCCTTAGCAAAGAAAGGAATTTAGGGTGTTCTTCTTTCTCCTACCATTCTGGCTTTTCTTCCTTCCCCTCTATGCCTATGTCTCCTTTTCCCTTTATTCTCTTTTTGGTCTGAAAAGCATTCTTCCTTCTGAGGGAACCGAGTGGCACGTAGCCAGCCGTAGTTAGTTCTTATTCACACAACAAAAATAACTTAGAAAATCCCTTTTCGATGTGTTGACCATTTTGGGGAAGCCTCAGCTCATGTAGCATTAGTCTTCCTGGCGTTGTTTTTGTGGCTCCCATAACTCTTTGATGGTTCTTCCTGGTTATGCATGCTCCACCTCCTGTCCTTGTACATGGAAGCACATAAAATTGGGTAGCTTCAGGTCTAAGCCACACTTCTGTACATTTCTAAAGTATCTTATGGCTGCTGCTCTAGGCATCTAAAGATAGTTTTCCAGCAGATATTATATGGCCTCCTTGTCCCAGGAGTGTTCTTCTGTACCAGCCCTGGGTAGGGAAGGCCCAGGAACCCTTAGGATTTAGACGTCGCCTTGCCTTGACTCCCACCACTGCGGAAGGCAGTTGCTTAGTCATCTAATAGTGGTGGTGTGTGATAGATGCAAGGACCTGGGAGAGTCCTGGAGAAAGAGGCACAGCTCACTCTGCACCTGGGTCAGAGCAGAAGTGATGCTTTAGGAATAAACACAATGGCCATTGGAGAGGCCAGAAACTCCGAGGACCACGTCTTCAAATGAGACATAGACAAGCCAAAAGCAGTAATGAGATGGGACCTGCGGGCTGAGACTCATTGCCACAGCCTGGTTCCTAGTGGCCACTGCTACTGTGGAGCTGTGGCCGTGTGTGACCGTGTTGGGGACTCTGGAGCTGTGGCCGTGTGTGACAGTGTCGGGGACTCTGGGGCTGTGGCCGTGTGTGACCGTGTCGGGGACTCTGGAGTTGTGACCGTGTGTGACCATGTCGGGGACTCTGGGGCTGTGACCGTGTGTGACAGTGTTGGGGACTCTGGAGCTGTGACCGTGTGTGACAGTGTTGGGGACTCTGGAGCTGTGATTATTGTGACAGTGTTGGGGACTCTGGAGCTGTGGCCGTGTGTGACAGTGTCGGGGACTCTAGAGCTGTGACGCCATGTGTGACATTTTTAGGGCTGGTATGTTAGTCATTTTAAAGCTTTTTTGTGTGCTACCCAAGGATCTAATGCATTTTTTAGCTTTGTATTTTGGCAGGATCTTAAAACTTATACAAAGTTGTAAGAATTATACCTGGAACTCCCATGTCCCAGAATGTTTGTTTAGTCTCATTTGCTTCATCATTTTCTCTATATGTATATTTTCAGATATACATCCAAACATTTTGTGACTACCTGAGATTAAGTCAGAAATATTGTGTCCCTTTACTGCTAAATACTTGTGTGTGTTTGTCCTAATAACCAGGCATTCACTGTTTTTAGAAGAGATTTTGTGTGTGTGAACATGAGTGTGCCGTGGCCGTGGAGGCTAGAACGAGGTTGTCAGATCCCTTGGAGCTGGAGGTACAGGAATTTATGAGCCGCAAAGTGTGTGCTGGGATTTGAGGTCTAGCCTTCTGATAGAGCAGTAAGTGCTCTTACCTGCTGAACAATTTCTTTAGCACCCAAATTAAATTCTTTAGTTATTTAACTATTACCTTTTGGAGGGGGCATACTGGTGATCAGCCTAGGGCCTCATGTGCTTGACGTGTGATCTACCACTGAGCTACAACCCCAGAAGAATTTTCTTATCTAATTATAATGATCCAAGTCAAGATTAGTATGGTCAAAGCAGTGTCTGGTCGGTGTTGATATCAGATCGCATCGGTAGGGCAAGTTCTACTCTCCCCAAGTTTGAGAGCTAACCTATAAACATGCATTTTGTCTAGAAATTGGAAGAAGTTCTTTCTTGAGTATAGGTTTTGAGAGAACACTTCAGGTATTGTGTAGAACACTGCAGCTTTGTTTACCTGATAGTTTCCTTATGAGTAGATTCAGGTTCTACATTTTGGCAGAAGTTCTCTGAGCTGTCAGCCTTCTGTGTCCTGTGCAGGCCACAGTGCTGATGTTGCCATATTGTAATGATAACTGTACTGTGTAGTTGTGATTGAACTAAGAAACACCTTAGGCCTTAAGACACACCCTTGAGTCCTTCAGGCCTTTTCTAAGGAAGGTTACCTGAAGGGGTAAGACTCCAACTGTGTTCTTATACTGAGTAAAGAGGAAAAAGCCAGTGAAATGTCAGCATTTCCCTCTCTGTGTGCCGGTCTACTGACCTCACGCCCTTACTGGCACAGCTGTGTGACTCACTGCCATCAGACTGTACCTACAGTGATGGATTGCACCTTCAGACTGTGAGCCTAAATACATCCCCTTCCCAGAAGTTGCTTCTTGTCAGTTATTTGGTCACAATGATGAAAAATATTGTTATATCTAATGCTGATCGTTTGGTTAAGGTGGTGTCTTTACCAAAATTCTCCTTTTTGTCAGGTACTTTTCCATTCCTGTTGAAAAACAAAACAAAATAATAGAGATAGGAAAACATTTTTTGAAAGTATTTTTAACAGTTTCAGAGGATTCAGTCAGTAGCCACTTGGCTTCATCGGTGTTTGAAGCAGAGTGTCATGGTGGGCAGCAAGTCTCAGAGCCAAGGGGCGCACCTCGTGGAGCCAGGAAGTAAAAAAAAAAAAAAAAAAAAAAGGAGCTGGGGTCCCTTGATCCACTTTGACCTACTTCTCCCAATTCGGCCTAGTTCCTCAGTTTCCACAGCTTCTGGGTAGTACTAGCCACAGTGGACCTTTGCGGGTGCTGCAGAGCAGGCTGTTGCCCTGTGCCTCAGCTGCTGGGACCCCTGCAGGGAGGTTCTCAGCCATTGTCAGTCCCGCACCTCACCAGGCTCCACCTCCGCCTGTGACTTGGAATCTGTCATTCCTTCTGGGGGTTTCCTGGCCTTCCCTGAACGGAAGGATTTTCCAAGGGATGTTGAGTCTTGCAAACTTAATGCCATGTCTTTGTATCTGCTTTTGCCTTTCCGGGCTAGGTCCTGTGGGCCTTCAGCCTCACCTTCCCTTCCGTATGCTCTTGTGGACATGAGTGTTCCTGACTCTTTCCAGGCAGGCTCTCAGATGCCACCTCACAACTGGCTCTGATGGAGCGGGGCTGCTCTCAGTGTGGGGCAGGGGAGTGGATCTCAGTGTGAGGTTTCCCTCAGGCCTGGGGCTGCATTTGGGAACTGCACTAGCTCTCCTAACAAGATGGTTTAACAGGGAGAAAAGGGAACGGTGGGTTTCCTCATTGGTGGGAAGCTGTGGCTAATCCTACCCAGGCTCAGTGGGAAAACTGCTTCCCTAAATCGTGTACTTCCTAGCTCCCTATTTACCACACAGCATTCCACGTTCGGTTTGTTAGTTCTCTTCCCCCGCTGACACACAAACAGTAGACAGGGCCCTGGCGTGACCCTGGTTAGTGGAAGCTTAAGGGCCTTTTTGAGTGTTTGCGGGTTTTGTAATTGATCTGAGTGACGCTGAGAATGCCACGTAAGACCTCTTTGTGTGTTTGCATGTGTGCACACCTGTGTGTCTGTGAAAGTGAGAGGACAGCCTTGGGTGTCATGGCTCAGGAGCCGTCCACCCCCACCCCCAAGGTCTCACTCTAGAGCTTGCCAAGTAGGCCAGGATGGCTAGTCAGCAAACACTTACGGACTGGCCTGTCTCCACTTCCCCAGCTCTTGAGATTATAAGTGTGTGCTACTACTCCTGTTGTTGGTGTTGGTTTTTTTCTTTCTTTCAAATGTGGGTTCTGGAGATTTGAGTCGGGTTCTCATGCTTGCAAGGGAGCTGTTGCCCTGCCCCTTTCTGGTCTTTTAAAGACCTTTCTATTGTGGCTGGTAAAGTCGGCTAAATGGTGGGGATGCATGAAGCTAGACCGAGGCGCAGGAAAAGAGGGATTTGGAAGTGTATGTGGGTAGTGTGAAGCGGGGTGATACTTTACAAATAGTGTGGTTTATGGTTTTCCTTTTCCCCGCCCCTGTTCTCTCTCTCCAGACAGGCTCAGAGCTCAGCCCAGTTGATGGACCTGTTCCAGGTCAGATGGACTCAGGGCCAGTGTACCATGGAGATTCAAGGCAGCTAAACACCTCAGGGGCGCCGGTCAATGGTGCTAGAGAGCCCGCCGGACCCAGTCTGCTGGGAGCTGCAGGTCCTTGGCGGGTAGACCACAAGCCCGACTGGGACGCTGCCTCAGGCTCTGCTCACACTGCTCGTTTGGAAGATGCCCACGACCTGGTGGCCTTTTCGGCCGTGGCCGAAGCTGTGTCCTCTTATGGGGCCCTTAGCACCCGGCTCTATGAAACCTTCAACCGTGAGATGAGTCGTGAGGCTGGGAACAGCAGGGGCGCCCGACCTGAGAGCTGTTCTGAGGGCAGCGAAGACCTCGACACGCTGCAGACAGCCTTGGCCCTTGCGAGGCATGGCATGAAACCACCCAACTGCAACTGCGATGGCCCAGAGTGCCCCGACTACCTCGAGTGGCTGGAGGGGAAGATCAAGTCTGTGGCCATGGAGGGAGGGCAGGAGCGGCCCAGACTCCCAGGCACTCTGCCTCCTGGTGAGGCTGGCCTCCCAACCCCAAGTACCAGACCACTCCTTAGCTCTGAGGTCCCCCAGGTACCTCCCCTGGAGGGCCTGCCTCTGTCTCAGAGTGCCTTGAGCATTGCCAAGGAAAAAAACATCAGCCTGCAGACAGCCATCGCCATTGAGGCCCTCACACAGCTCTCCTCTGCCCTCCCTCAGCCTTCCCAGTCCACCTCCCAGGCGTCCTGTCCACTCCCTGAGGCCTTGTCCCCTTCTGCCCCTTTCAGGTCTCCCCAGTCCTACCTCCGGGCCCCCTCATGGCCTGTGGTTCCCCCAGAGGAACATCCATCCTTTGCTCCCGATAGCCCAGCCTTTCCTCCAGCAACTCCAAGAACTGAGTTCCCCGAAGCATGGGGTACTGACACACCTCCAGCAACTCCCCGGAACTCCTGGCCTGCGCCCCGCCCGAGCCCTGACCCTATGGCTGAACTGGAGCAGCTATTGGGCAGTGCCAGTGATTACATCCAGTCAGTATTCAAGCGGCCCGAGGCCCTGCCCACCAAGCCCAAGGTCAAGGTTGAGGCCCCCTCTTCCTCCCCTGCCCCGGCACCATCCCCTCTTTCCCAGAGGGAGGCTCCCTTGCCCTCCCCAGAGCCTGATGCCCACCAGAAGGCCCAGACGGCACTGCAGCAGCACCTCCACCATAAGCGCAGCTTGTTCCTGGAGCAGGCCCATGATGCCTCCTGCCCTGCTCCCACGGAGCCTCAGGCTCCTGGCTGGTGGGCCCCACCAGGCTCACCGGCCCCACGACCTCCTGACAAACCACCCAAGGAAAAGAAGAAGAAGCCCCCTACCCCAGCTGGAGGTCCTGTGGGAGCTGAGAAAACCACCCCTGGGATCAAGCCCAGTGTCCGAAAGCCCATTCAGATCAAGAAATCCAGGTCCCGGGACATGCAGCCTCTCTTCCTGCCTCTCCGGCAGATTGTTCTGGAAGGGCTAAAATCCCAAGCCTCAGAGGATGTGCAGGCACCTCCGCCTGCCCAGCTCCCTGCCCAGCCTCCCGCCTCCCAGGGTGCTGCCTCCCAGAGCTCTGCTGCCCCTCTACCCCCAGAACCTTCTCTTGCGCTATTTGCACCTAGTCCCTCTGGGGACAGCCTGCTGCCCCCTACTCAGGAAATGAGGTCCCCCAGCCCTATGACAGCCCTACAGCCAGGCTCCACCGGTGGCCCCCTTCCTCCTGCTGATGACAAGCTGGAAGAGCTCATCCGGCAATTTGAAGCCGAATTTGGGGATAGCTTTGGGCTTCCAGGCCCTCCTTCGGTGCCCATTCAAGACCCTGAGAGCCAATCAACATGTCTCCCAGCTCCAGAGAGCCCTTTTGCCACCCGCTCCCCCAAGAAGATCAAGATTGAGTCTTCGGGGGCTGTGACTGTACTCTCGACCACCTGCTTTCAGTCGGAGGAGGGCAGCCAGGAGGCCACGCCCACCAAGGCCGAGAACCCACTCACACCCACCCTCAGTGGTTTCTTGGAATCGCCTCTGAAGTACCTGGACACGCCCACCAAGAGTCTTCTGGACACGCCTGCCAAGAGGGCCCAGGCTGAATTTCCCACCTGCGATTGTGTCGGTAAGTCCGTTTGAGAGTTAGGGACGGACAGGAGAGCAGCCTGTGGGCTTGGGTTTGTAGGGTCTTTCATTTGACAGATGGTTTACCTGCCTCTCTGCTGTGTCCTGGGAAATGAGCTGACAGGCAAGTGGGCAAAACCCTGAAGGAAACTGGGATCAGTCTAAACAGAAGGCTGTCTTCCTTCCTTTCCTGTTGCTGCAAAGCGATTTAAAGGCAAACAAGTTAATCTTGGCTCACAGTTTGATGGTGCAGCCTGTCATGGCAAGGAAGTGAAAGAGAGGAGTTTGAAGCAGCTTGTCACGCGGCAGCCACAGTCAGGAAGCAGAGAATGATGAATGTGTGTGCTGCCCAGATCCTGTTTCTGTTAGCTAGGGTGTCAGCCGGGGAATGGCGCCACCCACAGTGGGCTGGACCTTCACTTCAATTAATTTGACCAAGACTACCACCCCCATAGCATGCCCAGAGGCCCATCTCCCAGGTCACTCTTTCTAGGCTCTGTGGTGATGTCACTTCCTGCAGGTGGTGTCTTTGCAAGAGTAGCTCTTCTAGATGTCAGGAGGTAACCTTGATCCCAGGGGAAGTAGTAGGTTCTTGGGGGTTTGAAAGCAAGTGATGTCTGTTATCTTGAGCTTTTAAAGGACTTCTGGCTTATGGTGTAAGGAGAGACTATCCAGGAACTATAAAGAAAATGCCACTAGCTGTGTATGAAAACATGTGTGCTGGAGTGGGAGGGAGGAGAGAGCGGATGGATGGATGGTCCTGGAAGAGGAAGAGGTCTTGGGTCTTCACTCAGGGCAGGTGGCTTGGAGGGGAGTGTTTACTCGGCTCTGTAGGCCTGAGCCTGGAATGGCTGTGCAGTTAGGGGCTCTAACTGGGGTAGATCTGGGTCGTGTGTGTCTGTCCCCGTGTCTCGGATCAGGGGCTAAAGAGCCCATCAGTTTGTATGCCTTGCCCTTGGGGGCCTTAGAACCACTCGCATGGATGAGACAGTCTCAGAGGAGGAGGTCCTCGGTGCGATGGCAGCCTGGGGTGTGCTCTGCTCCTGTGCCCCGTTGCTCAGGAAAGGTCCATGAATGACACTTGCATCTCAGGTACTGACAGAGCAGACACACCAGTGTTCTTGACAAACACATTGGATTCTTGTGCCTATGCAATACACAAAGGCTTCTTCCTAACTTGTTAAAATGTGCACGCAGTAAATGAACGATGTGATTCCTAAAGTGCTTGTCCCAGTTAGTGAGGAGGGTCTGGACTCTTGTGCGCTGCAGCTACCCCAGACTCCAGGGTACAAGACTGGGGCATTACAGGATTCACTTGGAACAAAGAGTTCGGCCCCGGGTTTCTTTGAGGGGTGAACAAGCCTACTAGCTCTGCTTCTTGTTAGATGGCCCTGAAGGCCCCCTGATCCCTATTGTTTGGGGGAGAGAAGCATGTTCAGATCACGAGAATTCCTCCTCTTGCCTTTACGTGTTTGTTTGTCTGTCTCACTTCCCTGAATGTAGTGCCCCATGCCCTTACCTATTGCTTAGGATTTAATAAATGTCTTAATTGTTAAATCTCATTTTATGGCTCTGAGGGTCGGACAAGGCTGTCTTAGAATCTGAATTCCAGCCCCATCACTTACTAGCTGGAGTGCTAGGGCCGTCTCTAACCTTCAGATACACCCTGGAGGTGAAGTTACTGATGGAGGTGATGACCTGGAGCAGGAAGCTGCTGCAGCAACAGTAGCATTCGTGAACACCAGACCAGGCACTTCACAGTCACGACAACATTTAATCCACAGTACCATTAAATGATGTGAGGATTGCGGGTGGCTCCATGGTAGCTGATGAAGCAAAATCAGGTCATAGAAACGGTAGAATTGAGATTTGAACTTAAGCACTTGGGCTCTTAATCACCGCCCATGCCATACTCTTTGTTGTTGTCATGTTTGTGTTTGATGCAGGGGAAGTCAGAGAGAAGTTCTGTGCAGTTGGTTTTCCCCTTTAAGTGGGTTTCAGGGGTCAAATCCAGGTCCTCAGGCCTGTACTACAGACCTTTACCTAGAGGCAAGTCTGTAGGCTCCCTGCCATGCCGTATTGTGATTGAAACTAATTGAAAAGCAAGCCCTAACTACAGCGGCTGGTTGGAGGGGATTCCTGAAGGGCCGGAGGCTTCTGTTGGGAAAAGACTCGAGTGTTATTTTCAACTGCTCTGGGTAGACTCTGTGAAATTCAGGCTCAGGAGAAAGTTTTTCAACAAAACTGCTCACTCTGAGATCCATGACAGATGGGGACCATCCCATGTTCCAGAAATGTATCCATTAACTCTTGATAGGCGGAATTTGCAGGTTTATATAAGAAATTTAGCTGGGCAGTGGTAGCATATGTTTTTAATCCTAGCACTCTAGAAGGCAGAGGGATGAGGATCTCTGTGAGTTCAAGGTCAGCCTGGTCTACAAGAGCAAGTTCCGGGACAGCTAGGGCTGTTACACAGAGAAACCCTGTCTCGAAAAACAAAACAAAACAAAACAAAACAAAAGTTTGCAGGGATGTAAGGTGAGACCTGGCAAGTCCATTAAGCACTCGTATTTGCTTAAGAGCACTTGCTGCTCTTGCAGGGGACTGGGGTTCAGTTACCAGCCCCACAAGAAGAAGTTCAGACCCATCTGTAACTCCAGTTCCAGAGAATCTGACTCCCTCTTCTGGCCTCTGTGGGTACTGGGCACACACACACAGTGCACATATATAGATACAGACAAACGCTCATACATAGCATTTTTAAAAAACCAAAATAGGACATCTCTTATAACATAGTACAAGAAACTTACCGTTCATGTTTCTTACTAACTCTTGACAAGTGTGCAGTTCAGGCCAATGCAAACATCACTGGATAATCAGAATAGCAAGAGCATTGCCCATATGTGAGAATTATGGAGCAACATGTGGTGGCATGCACCTTTAATTCCAGCACCTGAGAGACGGAAGCTGGAGAATCAGGAGTTTGAGGCCAGCATGGGCAACATAAGAAGTTATAGACTAGTTGGTACATGTAGAGAGACTGTCTTAAAAAAATAAAAACTTAGGGTTTTCTTGAGTATTTGGATAGGATGCATCTAAGTTTGTTTTCTAAATCTTGGATACTAAAACTAAAGGCAACCATGAAATTTCAAAACAGATCTAGACAATATGGAAGTCATTGGCTTTATCTGAGAGGTGGTGGGGTCTTTAACAACCTTTGGGGTGGTATTGAAATATTCCTAATATTTTGAAGTTTGCATTAGAGAGATCTTGCTTGCCGTTAACCATCCTGTGACACTTGGCAAAGGTGGACAGGGCCCTGGACTTCAGGGGTTACCTGTGTCCATGCTCAGGAATGGAGAAATGCCCAGAGGAGACAGAGTAGGACAGAGAACAAATCCAAATGACCTCTCAGTGGAAAAAGCACCCTTTGAGATCTACTCATTTCATAGGTGAGGAAGCATCTGTGTTGGCTTTTAATCGTTGTCTTAATGTATCCGAGGAGCAGCCAACAGGAAACTGTGGGAACCGACTAACCCAGAGCCCAGGCAGGAGGTTAGATGGTGAGGGTCAGGGAAAGATGGGGCAGACGTCATAGAACCGCTGCATGTTAAGTCTGTTTCCTGCCTAAAGTAGGTACAAGAAAGGCGTCTCTATTGTCTGGAGCCAGGTGAAAGTCTAGGGGAGAGAAAGACATTGTTCAGTACACGTGGCTGGTTGTGGTGCCTACCGGGTGACATTAGAAAATTTGTCCCCTTCCATTGCATTCAGTTTGATGGGATAATCTTTTTTAAAAAAAAAAATTAAGGCAATAGAGTATTTGGGTAAAAGTGGAAAATCTGTTCCCGAGTGAGAGGGTGTCAGAAAAAACTTGCTGACAGAGGTGATGTCCGATCGAGTTTTAGAGGACTATAGAGGGCAGCAGGGATAGAAGAGGTGCATGGTTCGGGGAGGCTGTGGGTATGGGGAGGCGAAAGGGCTGCAAAAACACATGAGAATGTGGTGGAGGGAGGCGAGAAAGGCAAGTTCTGGTGTGGCTGGTATGTATACTAACTGGGAGCGGCAGGAGAGCAGTTTCAGGGCAGGGAGGGATGGTGATACTGAGAGCAGAGAAACCAGTTTACAAGCTCAAGCAGAAATTATGAGTGCCTTTAATTCCAGCAGAGGCAGAGGGATCTGAGTTCAAGGCCAGATCTAGTTCTAGGGCAGCCAGGGCTCTGCAGAAAAACTGCCTCATCCACCCTCCCCGAAAACATAACTGCTGAGTAGGAAGGAGGGGAAAGATGGGTAGAATTTCAGCAGCTGCGCGGCAGGAGTGGAAAGGAGGAACAGTTGATGTGACCCCTGAGATTCCAGGCTGGGCAACTGGATGTGGGAGAGAACTACAGGCCAGCCTTGCAGATGTGGGCGGGATAGGGGGGCAAGATCAGATCCATGAGCTGGAGATTCTGCTGCAGTTGATGTGCAGAGCTGTGCAGTGGTCGTGCATGCCTTTAGTCCCAGCACTCGGGGAACAGAGGCAGACAGATCTCTTGAGTTCGAGGCCAGCCTGGTTTACAAAGCAAATTCCAGGAGGCTACACAGAGAAACCCTGTATCAAAAAACAAAACAAAATTCTATCCAGTAATCCTGATCCGGGGCAGGTCCTGATCGTCTGCCTGCCCCCTGCTGTGGACTTCACCAGCTCTCAGGAAGTGTCATGCTGGTGGACAATCTTGGAAATGGATCTTATGTGACTGTATATTCATGTTGCCCATAACATTGCATTGAAAAGCTGAGGCCTTGTACAGATAAACACTGTGTGATCTGGGCCTGGCTGTGCACAGTCTGTGTACCAGTGTCATGAACACGGTGCTCACGGTCTCTGTATGCATTCTGCTTTTGGCTTCCCCTACTGGGAAGTGGAGACCTTTATGTCTGTTAGATTTCTGTGTACTTGCGAGTGTGCTCACACGCCACAGTGTGCATGTGAAGGTCTAGGACATCTTGTGGTAGTTGCTT